GCCACTGTGTAATATCCTCTATATACATACTTGGGTGTAGTGATTAACAACCAGTTCTCCTGGTCTCCTGGGAGGCGCGGTAGCCTCATGTTTAGTGCACTCGACTCCGGAACGAGCGGTCCGGGTTCGAGCCCTGAGGCCTGTTTCTCGAAAGCCTAAGAAACGTTTCGGGCCCGTAAAGCCATTTTTAGTTCATCTGCATCTAAAACGAGAGAAGTGTATACGCCTGAAACTTCTTGTATGAAGGGAACCTCTGTTCGTATTAAGAATATGTAAATAAAACAGCTCTGTAATCATATGGTTTAAGATTTTGCTGCGGTTTTCCGGGTGCGAAAACATTTCGGGAGAAACGGGGCTCTGGCCGGGGACACTGTTGTGTTCTTGGGCAAGACACTTAGCTCTCACAGTGCCTCTCTCCACCCAGGAGTATAAATGGGTACCGGCGAACTGTTGGGGAAACCAAACAAATTGCGGGGAAGTGACCTGCGATGGACTAGCATCCCGTTCAGGGGGAGTAGAGATACTCCTAGCCGCTTCATGCTACAGAAACCTGGATAAGCTCCGGCAGCTATGAGCCAGTCGGCTCCAAGGCTTCACTTTTCTCCCGGTCTGATCACATTGAGTCTGTGCGTAGCAAAATAAGTAAAAAATTAGGCCTTTTGAGGCGTATTAAGTCATGCCTCCCCCCTTAGTGCAAGAGTTACTTTTTTAATAGCTTTGTTTTACCTCTTTTGCCTGTGGAGACATAATTTGTGGTGACAGGGGAAACGCCTCCTTGATGTCCGAGCTACAAGTGTTACAAAATAAGGCTGCGCGCCTTATATTAGATCTTCCTGCGCATTCATCAGCTACTGAAGCGCTAAAGAGGCTTGGATGGAAGCCTCTAACGCGCCGCAGACTGGAGCATCGTGCTGTTTTCATTTATAAATTACTCAATGACCATTTCATCAACAATCTCATTTAATGGCGATTTTCATGGTTATAATACCAGGTCTAGAAATAACATCCGCAAATCTACCGCCAATAGAACCTGGGGTCACTGGTCTTCAATTAACCTCTGTTCAGAAATATGGAATAGGTTAGACATTTCATTACGGAATGCAGAGTCGCTGACTTCATTTAAACGTGGCTTGTCTAAAGCCGTTTTATGAACGTTTTTATTTAGTTTTCTTCTAACTTTTGTATACATATTCTTAGATTTTTTAATTTATTTTCTTTTTGTATTTTATATTTCTCAATTTGTAGTTATTTTTATCTAAGTAATTTTTTGGAGGACCCTTCTGTAAACCACTCTACTGTGATGTTGGTATCCTCATTTAAGATTACTAACTACTTCTACTACTATCCTTGTGTTATTTTTCTCGTTTGATGTCCTTGTTTTGTTCAATTCCCATTTTAGGTATCGATGAACAGTTGGCTCGCCATTATGCGCATTTATTCATCCGGGATCCTTTGACCTTGTTTCATGAGCACATCTATGAAGACGATGAGCAGAACACGGATCACTTTGAGGTAACACCAATATCAAGTAAACTACCGCCCCCGCCCGCCCCCACCGTTACCCCCGTTTCTGCGTCCTATTGTTAGAGATCTCCATATGATGATTTGCAAATTACTGCAAGATATGAAATAATAACTTGATTTTTTTCCCTTGATCGTGTCAATGTAATTACATAAATGTGTTAGTACTGTAGTTGCCAGCATGTAACAATCTTTTTTCAAACTGATTGATTGTTAATACTTTGTTGGAATTTGGTGACTTTCTATTAACTTGTATCATCGCCATTTTTGTTATCTGACTTCTGCGCATTCATACTCTGTGTGTCACTTTCCTATTCGTTTGTTGGTTTTTGTTGCACGTCACAGGTGGGACCCAACCAACGGTGAATCCCTTCTAAAATTCTGACTGGACCTCTACACACGATATGCAATGATAAACACGCTACTCTGCCGCCTTACTACTCTGATGCCGGGCCAATTAAGTGAATAATTTTTCGTCGTGCCGTTTATTGACTGTAGGATCAGGGTGATGTACCTATCCCTCATGAATAACAGAGAATTTGAACAGAATACTGAACAATTTGTTTTATTTTGCTCCTCAGAATATCCAGTCCACCAACTGGCAGACCATGCGTTTTAAACCGCCTCCCCCTAACTCGTCCATTGGCTGGAGAGTGGAATTCAGACCCACTGAGGTAATATATTAGTATAATTTTTAGTATCCTTATAGCTCCCGGCATTATGCATCGCGCAGTTACAAATGTTACATGTAGCAGTGGCTCTCAGCGAGCTCATTCAATAAAGGTACCTTTTTCCCTTGGAATACTTGAGGAAGTTTCCAGGAGAAAAGTATTACGAAGCCTCGATTCACATTTTTCTCTTCGCGCTAGGGAAGTTCTGAACGCATTTTAGATGAAGTGTAAGCAAAATGTCAGAAATAGTACATTTGAATTGAGCACTCACAGAATAGAACTGCAATGCAGACTTTGAAATTCTAAGGGAGCAGTGGAATCAGCTCGCTCGTTGTCTGCTTGTCTTTCTTTTCTTTTGTCTTGGTAATCTTGCCAGGTTAAACTTTCTAAGAGGTAAGAAAGATACCACATATATGTAGTGTAGTTAACCAGTTAATTACATTGTTTGGTTTTCTTGTTTTTTCCAGGTACAACTGACAGACTTCGAGAATGCCGCCTATGTAACCTTCATTGTGCTTCTCACGCGAGTCATTTTGTCATTTGACCTCAATCTGCTTATTCCCTTATCCAAGGTGAGAACTTACAAAGAAAAACTGCCTTCTGTCAGCAAATGTATGATGGATAGAACTTGTCCCACTCTTTCATTTATACATGTAGAGAACCTACACTTACCTGACCATGGTGATTAGACCATATTCGTATTCTCGGTACAGGACTGGAACTAGCTTGTAACTGAGGCTAATGCGGGAAATCTTTTCAAATACAAATGACATTAATCTCTTGTTAATGATATTCCTCCTCATGAGCCTCCATCGCAAGCTAGTTCCAGTCCCATACCGAGGATACGAATATGGCCTAGTGTACTTGGATACGATCACACATGAATGTTAGAAGTGCAGTCGTTAAATAGCCATGCCACTTTTCGAGTAAACCTTCATCATTATAGATAAACATATAATAATTCAGTCCCGTCGTTTTGTAGGCTACGGGTAGTCCCTCCTTCGCTTAGTCCGTTGTGTCACGCGGCCATATTTTTCCACGCGGCTTTTTTAAGTTGTCGTTCGAAGGACTAAGCGAAAGAGGGACTATTCGTGGGTTACGACGTGTACAATTACGATAATTATCTTGTTTATTTATTATTGTTAATTGTTCATTGATTTTTTTTTTTTTTTTTTTTTAATATTGCGTACGAAGAAACGGGCTAAGAAAATTCCCCAGTAATGCTCATTTTCGTGAAGGATGACCGCGGATGGAGAATGACACNTTTTTTTTTTTTTTTTTTTTTTTTTGCGGGAGGAAATTATTGTTATTGTTGTTGTTTTGCTGTTTTTTTTTTTTTTTTTTAAACAAACAAAAAACATTGCCTTCGTCTTTTTATGACAGGTTGACGAGAACATGATAACCGCTCAGCAAAGAGATGCTGCTCGTCAGGGAAAGTTCCACTTCAGGAAAACTTTGAAGAGATGTAAGTGATAACTCTGTTCCATTTGCTTAGCGATTTTCTTTTTTTCTGTACAATCTTCGCGTAACAATTCAATAGTTTTATTGAAAGGTCGCTCCTTGTTTACATTTCCAAGGTCCCACTGTGACAAATGGAGACGTCCAAAATGGTGATTCAGATTGCGACGGGTTCGAGCTGATGACGATTGACAAAATCATCAACGGCAAGGTGAGACAGACTGAAAATATTTTCGTTGCATTTTTTTTTCCTCTTTCTGCAATGTAAGTTTACACTCAGTCTTTACATTCAGTGAAGTGGTGACGGAAAGCATTTGATGCGGTTTCGGAGTGTAAACGCGGCTTTCAGGTTTCTCCGGCGTAGTGTGAACGGGGCCTAACTTGTCTAGGACTTCTCTTGGAAGTTTGTTCATTTGTGCTGCTGTTGCATCATTCTTTATTTATACGATTATGGCAGCTCGTAAACTGATGTGAACGCGCCAACTAACTTAACACATACGTGTAGCAACTAGCCTACTAAAAATTTTTTTTTTTTCCTTAAAAGTTTTCTTTCTTGGTTCTTATTTCTTTCTCCTCTCGTTTTGTTATTGTTGTTGTTGTTGTTATTGTTGTTGCTGTTGTTTTCTTATTCCTTCTTTAATTATGTCTCATGTAGGATGGTGAATTTCCCGGACTCATACCGCTGATCGAAAGTTACCTTGGCAACGTGGATGTCGACATTGACACACGATGCACCATTTCCCAATATTTGAAACTTATTTCGAGGAGAGCTTCAGGTGAGTTTGGTCGATCTAATGCTGCGTTTTGAAAATTATATTTTGAGGGGCAATAATAACTAACTTAGAACTTGTGGATGTTATCAAAACAACAAAAACAACAAAAACAAACAAACAAATAAAAAACCCTTTTCCTATTAGTGCTCTTCCATGAATTAATCCATTACGGTAAGCTCCGTCCTGGTAGGCAACCTAGATTTATCTAGAGAACATTGCTATTGGTTTTGTGAGTTGGTATTTTCTTGTTCAAAAGCATGAATAAGTGAGTCAAACGTTTTCCTCTGTGTTTTAGGTGAGCTGCTGACTACAGCGCAGTGGGTTCGCAGATTTGTCGACGAGCACCCCGATTACAAGAAAGATTCGGTTGTTAGTGAAACGATTTGTTACGATCTAATGAACACTTTTGATCGTATTAGTCGGGGAGAAGTCGGCGCACCGCAACTCTTTGGAAAACCCACATCGAAAACGAGCGATGTGTTGCTGAAGAAATGCTTGGAAATTAAGGAAGAGATGCGGAAAATAGAGGCTGGAAAATAAGTGAGATGATTCACTCACCAATGCAAATACTGTGCTGTATATAAATCATATTTTGAAAACTATCAACTGAGCCTTCGATTGTCATGTTTTAGTCAGTGTATACACTACATGTAAGTAAGATAATGTGTCTTTGACTAGTAAGTCCACATCTCGTCTGAACAGACGATTCTTCCTGGATGGTGGTAGGACTGTCAAAGTTTCTTCGTAAATACTTTACTAGATAGCAATTACAGTATCATACGTGAAAGTAATAGTTCCAAGTTAAAATATTAATTCTCGTTACTTACCATTGCGGATTTCAAGATAAATTATGAGAATTTAGTTGAAGATGTAAAGAATATTCTCTAGTTAATATAGTTTTCTTTTATACTTTTTATTACCTGTCGGGTGGTAAAGGCAATCAGCTGTTGATTACTTGAGAAATGAAAGAATTAATAGCAAACTGAAGTTGCCTTGGAACTGAGAAGAGAGCGAGCTCGTCACATGTAGTTTTATCTGTGCTTGGAAACGGTCCTATTTGCTACACTCGGTGCAATCGTGAGAACTTGTTATAGTTCTGCAGAACAAACTATAGGTTGCGCTTAACGAAAAAAAAAAAGCTATACCGATAATCAGTCACAAACGAAAGCAAAAATCATGTGAAGCTGTCAGTTGGGTAGAGGTATGCATGTTCGTGAAGGATCGCAGCTTTTAAATGATTTCGGAGAGGTTATTTCTTTTGGTTAATCTGTCAGGGTCCATTTGAGATACTCGTAGGCTTTGCTTTCAGAGTCTCGCTACAGTCTCCGTATTTCTTTTGTTCTTGTTTTGATATTTTTTGCTAATCGAAGATACATGTGTCACACAACATTATCTGGTTTTGGTTGTTTTGTTTGTTTGTTTTGCGGTGGCTTGTGATTGCTTATCATTATTATTATTATTATTTTTCATTTTGGTATTTATTAATTGAGTAAATACACACAATACATAACATTTTTACCAATTTATAAACAGGCAACTATTCATGCAAGAAATTGACAAAACATCCATTTAACCAGGTGTGAAATCATAAACACTTATTCCATGCGGTTTGTCGTGATATTTGGTGTCTCATTTAGTGTTATAACATTTGGCGACCTTATGATTATACATTGTAGCAACGAACTTAGAACGGAACTCAGAACAGAGATTTCATTCGTTGGTTAATGCTATATAAAAGCTATGCGATCGTACCACAGATCGAGACTTCAGTGTATAATAATTAGAAAATAGTTATCATTCACATGGCATGTAAAAACATGGTTGTCCCTACTACCGTCACATAAAGGTGTGGATTGTAATAAGACATGAGTTCTAGGCTAGATTTCGTATTAGTAATAAAGTCGTAGTTGATTTATTTTGCGCCAGTCGTCTACAATCTTGTTCCCTGGGTTTTCCCTTAGACTGATCGATACGGGTTGGAAAAGGATTAGGGCTAAGTTCCACTGCAGAATTTTGGAGGCATATTCATTGATTTTGCAACTTCAAGGTACCAGCATTACCTCCTCCTCCCTCCTCCCTCCCCCCGCCCCGCACCCCCCCCCCCCTCCCCACCCCCAGCTGCGGAAATTATGTCATTTTTGGGGCCAAACGCTAATGATTCAGGCAACCACATTTAAGAGAAAACATTACAAAATGATGTTGTTTGTGTGATTTCCAGAACTCGGAGATAAAGTTTCTAGTTAGTTACCTTTTTAGAATTTGTTTTCTTTTAATAAGTTAAAGTTAATTAGTTAAGTTAAAAGTTCTTTTAATAACTTTACTCGGATTGAGACTGTTGATAGAGTATGATTGATTGATTATGTAAGCTTTGACAGAAGCATATCACCC